AACTTACTTTCTCACTTCATATATAATTACATCTGGATTATATCTTCTAGCTGCATCAAGTATTAGCATAATTTTCATTACCTGGGCTTTGGGGTTGGGGCTTTTTTTTTTCCATTCTTCCATTAAACTAAACCATGCTAATACTGTTGACTGCTGCAAGAGAGGTTTATTCTTTGGTGCAAATGGAGAAACTGTCACAGGCAATTGTTAGGCTGATGTAAAACAGCTCGTTGAAATGTCAGCCTGGAGTTACAGCAAGTATGGCACGTGAAGGATGACTTTCAATTTGCTTCCATGAACAATGTTTAATGATGCTTTATGCAGCTTTATAAAAGCACCTTAACACCTTTCTGATCTAAACCAGAACACTTAAGTATTCCAAACCAACAGCAGACCACCCAATACCTTTGCCTGGAAGCCTCAGCAATCCCATCTTTAGAGGGACATACTCTTAATATTATGAACATTTTAATTGCATTTTGATTTTTATCTCATGCTCCAGCAAAAAACTATTGCATTTAATTCAAGAAGTAATTTGGTAATTAAATATTAAATAAACAGCTATTTTTGTGTAAACATGCAAAGGAATGCAAAGCATTCTTGTAATCAATGCATCAGGGTTAATTAACCATTAACACAGAATGACAAAACTTAGGAATAAGAGCTCAAAGGTTACCAGGAATTAAACAAGTCAGGCTCTGAAAGCACAGTGCTGCATTGCTTGTTATAACCATGGGCTCTTCAGAGCCCAAACCTCCACTCCCCCCCTGCAGGCAAGCACATGTTGAGGTCAGCCTGGGTGATCCAGTGATCCCAAAGAATTCAGATAGATTCTCCTAAAGCTGCAGAGCTTACTGGTAAATTCCATAAAAATATCCACTAAAAATCATCTCCATAATTCATTTACACAGCAAAACACAGTAACACTATGATGAGCATTTATGCTTTCATTTAGGCCTGGGAGAGCAATGAATTCTTCTTTTGTGTATTACTAAGCAGACCCATCCTGAAAATACATTTTATAGAAAAACCCACTCACCCTTTTTGAAGCAAAGACACATATTTATGGTTGACAAATGGCTGAAGTGTTTGGAGCTTCCTGAGAAGTTTACTAGAGGAGCTTCTGACTCTCCTTTCTTTACAGGGTGTTGTACAATTCAGCTCTAATTACAAGGTCCAGTCATATCACCCTGACTCACTTCAGCTGACATGAACTGCCTGAGCACCTGTTTTACTTGCAGTTTTTGAGTCCAGGCAATTACAATTACTGCTGGCTATTGCTGTGTGAAAGGTGGGGATTTTTCAAGCAATGACCTAATGCCTGAAGCTCTGGCTTGCCCTATTAGGTGAGGCAACAATTTGCCTTCCCAATACATGGTAGCTCTCCATGGTCCTTCAGTCTCTTCCATCACTTCATCCATTATGCCCAAATTCATGAGGTTTTGCTAATCAGTACTGGCAATCTCAGTATCTATCTCTCTCTAACTTATAAACAGATTTCAAACCTAAATAATGTTTAATCTTAAACTATTTTAACACAGGTGAAGAAAAACAACTACCAACAGTAAGACTCACTTCAGGGAGGTAAGAACAAGCACCAAAGCTCAGTTGAAGAGTTTCAGTGGTGCATCTGTAGTCAGAGTGCTGGCAAAAGGATCTCCCCTACAGACTAAACCAGAACAGCAAAACCCAAAATACAGTTTAAACTTTTAAATAGAATTACATACAGAAATTGCATTACTGAAAAATTTGTCTTGGAAGCAGGATCATTATCTGAAAATCAGCTTCACAGTGAAAGGAGAAGATAGATAGTGATGATACGCCTTTAACATCCAGCTCTGCCAGAGATTCCCCATGTGAATTTAAACAAAACAGAAATGTTTTGCTGTTCTCCATTTTAGAAACCAGGAGCAGCAAATACCTTTTCTCCCTCTCCTGCCATCTGCCTTTTTTATTTACACAGTGGTGCTAAGAAGACACACAGACACGACTTAGTCAAAACACAGGTACAGTCCTTCATTTCAACAGGAGTTCAAGATCCTGGTGACTCAGTCACCTCCCTCTTCTTAGCATCTGCAAAGGAAATAAGCTAAAGTTGAATTAAAAGGAAAGTTTTTACACTTACACTGGGAACCAAATTTCTTTTCTGTGAGGCAGAAAGGCCTAGTGACCTTCCAAGAAAAGGTTTAAAAACCCCTAAATTACTACTATTTTGAAGTGATGAGTCAGATCACTGCCAAGTCATGATTTTTCAGGACAAATACATCTTCCATTTTGTCTGTCATTTATTCCAGTATTACTTGTACTACTCGATATTCATCAGGTGCTTCTTATACAAGAGAAAAGAAGAAAGTGATAAGATTCCAAGCAACTGCATGTTTGACAACAGTGAGCAAGGAAAAGAAGCAGCAGCTAAATACAACATATGTGTAAGTAACTTCCTGAATGACTTGGCAGCCCAGTTTGTTTATCCCAATTCAAATACTAAGTACCACATTCATACACAAAGGCAGCAACTTGCTTGATTTTCAGATACACTGATCTAGGATCTCATCACTTAAAAATCAGCAGCCTTATGTGACCAAGTGCCAAAAGTGTTAAAAACCAAATGTACTTCCACAGATGTTAAATACCAGTGCAATGCAATGTATCTACAATTGCTACAAAACAACACAGAAAAGATTTCATATGGATTTAGAATGGCCACTGCACTTGTTTCCAACTGAGTACAGATTCCTTCCCCAACAGTAAAGCTTGACATAACCCAGCTTACCATGGGTATCATGGATTCTTAAAACCACTTGAACACAATCTGTCATTTCAGAAGAGCAAGATAAGTAGTCAAGCTGTATTTCAGCTTATTCAACGACGCTGCCAGAAATAACAATTCCAAATTTTTGACACAAATGCTGGCCACTATCCTGCATGAGATCCATGTCCTGAAAAAAATCAATAAAAGCTAGAATACCTCTCTAAAGATCCAAAAATTATGCCTACTGGTGGAAGGACAGAAATAAGAAGAACAAGGCTGTGCTGACTGTCTTGTTCCTAGCTTACTGGATAATGTTTGGCACGGAGCAGTATTAGTCTAGATATAACATTTGCAGAGTGACATGTATGAAAAGATAAATGTTACTGACCAAAGCACAAAATTACCAGAGAATTATCTGTGGTAGAATCCTTAATTAGGAAACAGTGGCTTGACAAGGCAAAGCTTGGATGGACAACCGCCATCTTAACTTCTGGGAGAAAACCAGGGAAATTCCATGCAAAACAATCCATAACTTAGCAAAAGTAACTAGATAAATCCAGGAGAGGTATACTGTTGTTTTTTTAAGCAGAAGACTATGAAGTGGACATCAAAAGTACATGATTTGCTTTAATTAAGTGAATAGGAATGCACAACTCTCTGACACTAGATAAGAAAATCCATAGAAGTGACAGACTTGGTGAAAGGCACAAGTTCAGCCAACTTCTGCTGAACAGGAATTCTGCACTTGATCCATCCTCTACAGGGAAAGGTAAAGTTCCATTAAGGTCCTTCTGAAATGACTGAATCCACATTTAAATAGAAACCCCAAACTAGTCATGCACTTCTCTACAAGGTTCTTTATCAAGAAACGCCCTGTTTAATGACCCTCCTAACTATTGTGGAATTCAGCCACAAATAAAACTTTTCAGTAAACAACAGCTTCATCAAGTTTATCAAACAAATTTCAACAGTTAAATCTTCCTCCTTCTTCAACAACCTTCCCATTTTCCTCTATTTCATCTCCCTTCTCCTCTGCAGGATGATGCACAATTGTTTGATGAGTCTCCACTATTATTAGCCTTTCCTTGCTCACAAATAAGAAGAGTGACAAAAGTTTTCCTTGGCTCAGGTTAGCCTAGATTGACCATCAACTTTCCTGGTGCTATGAGGAAGAATGGGTTTCATCAGAACCAAACCCTTTAAAGGAAACCTTTGTACTTCAACAACATCTCTTTCTAAATCTACCCCCTTTTTTAAAAGTTTAAATAACTAATGATTAGATTAGGAGACATTAGTAGAGGTGCTAAATATTCCTACTCACAGCAAGCAGACAGACCACACATTTTCCTCGCAATGCCCTTTATTTGAAACACACATTAAAAGAATTCTGTGCTCTGAACATGAGATTACTTGTGTTATACTCAAGTTCTCAGTACTTTAGAAGCTGCATTGGACCACCCCATTCATTCCTACATAGCTGTAGGATGCCAGAGCATGCCTAAATCACCTATTTTCAACAGCTATCATGTTCTAGATGACCTACACTCAATGTATCTATATTAATGCATGTACTAAGTTGAATAATTTGGAAAGGTCTGGTTTTCTCCACGTCATTGTCATCTTCACTGCATTATCAGTCACAAGATCTGGTTTTCTCCACGTCATTGTCATCTTCACTGCATTATCAGTCACAAGAACAGGTTCCCCAGGAAAATGGTTATGACACCATGCCTGTTTCAGTTCAAGGAGCATCTGGACAACATTTAGTCATATGGATTAGTTTTAGGTAGTCCTGCAAGAAGCAGCAAATTGGACTCTATGATCTTTCCATGTCCCTTCCAACTGGAGATATTCTGCAAGTCTAATATTTACTTTGTAGTTATAAAGAAGGCTAAATCCATGCACACAGCCACTGAGCAGAAACAACCCTCTAGAGAAAAGGATACAACAAATTAGCATAAGCAATAATGGGAAAATACTACTGGTAATGTCTTTAGATCATGTCTGTTCAAGAAGAGGAGCAACTTTTTAAAGAGCCATTTTTAGGTAAAGGAACGAACTATTTCCATGCATGATCATTAGGGGAAGAAATCCTCCCCCAAAATATCTGTATTATATCAAATCAATTATTGATTCCCACCTAGTCAAACACATTCTTTTAAGAGCGCCTGGATTGTTTTTTCTCCCTCAGAGTACAAGAGCACTCAGACTCCTAGAAAAAGAAACAAAATTACAGACTACAGCACACTGTAACACAAGATTATCTTTATTTCAAAACTGTACAAAGTATAAAGATATAATTACACTGAAGTAAACCCTGCTCTTTAAGTATCTGAATACTTTAGCAATGATATGGTCATGAAAAAATACCTTTATTGTTCCTCATGAGGAAATTTTATCTGATGGAGCGATACATCATGAAATCAATTGTTGTACATCTGGGGAATTTACCTATAGAGCTCTCCTCCACAGGGGTGTACACTTTGATTTGCCTCATGTGAGTGTCTCTTCCATTCTGGTGATTTGCCAGAACAGCAATCTGGATCATAAAGGTGCGAATGGGCTTCTTGTGGGTGTCTGTCAGAGGAACATGGATCCAGCCACTGGGTTCCACTAATTCCAGCTGCTGCCAAAAACAAGACAGAAGAGCAAAACATTCACAAACAGTTCACATACTTCATATAAATCACCACATATTAAATCCATTTAATAAAGTCATCTTGTTAATCACATTTTAGTTACTTTTTCAAAATAATCTGAAATAACAGAGTTGAATACTCATAGCTGATTTACTGCTCATGTAAATGTATACAAATTAATTTGGTTGTCTGCAGTTCTGTTTGCTTTTGCCTTTCAGAATCTATTCCTCATTTTGTGCCCTAATCCTAAAATAAAAATCAATATAAAAGAATACAGACTTCAGTATAAATTTAAGAAAGTAAAAGTGTAGCATTTGGACCTTCTTACTGAAGGACAATGCTCAAACATGACAAAATATGCATTTTAAATTGTCTAGGCACTCATTTTATCTAGGCACTCTGAAGTACAATTGAGTGACTTATGTAGGAAACTAATTGAACACAAAGTTCTGGATTTTCAGAAATTCCTTAGATTATTAGGGGGACTGGGGAAGAGGAAAAGGAAGGTGACAGAGGAAAAAATAGAGGATACCTCAAACTTCATCTAATGTATCATGATCAATTAATAATTGCTGCACAGCCATTAAATCACATTCTAATCACATTTAACTTGCCTTTTATACAACATACCCAGTGTGACATGATGATTTTATCTTTTCCATTTTAATCCTACACAAACCAATGTCAAGGCAAGCAAAGAACAGCATTTTTTTAACTCTAAACCACATCACTGACAGAACAGATTGCTGAAATCAAACTGGATGCTATGCAGAGCATGGTAACAGCTTTTGTTTAAAACTAGCTGCCCAACTTCAAAGCACAGCTCAAAACACACATGGAAGAGCACACAAGTAAATAAAAGTCCTGGGGGGGAAAGAAAACAAAACACAAAACAATTGTCCACTAGCAAGTAGATTCACACAGCTAAGCAAATAAGAGTGTTGTTCTTAGCAGCTGAGTTCCCCTAAGGAAGATGTATGTGCTTTGAGCTGCTCAAAATTCCCATCTTTCTCCCAAAAATACTGCATGGCACATGCTGTCAAATGCCTTGCTTATGCTGAAGCTTTCACAAGACCCAGCTGAGAGCTACTGGTTCAGAGCAGGCACTCTGAGAAAACAACCCAAGAAACAAGCAAAAAAGTTTGATGACTATTTCAGTTTAAAGTAGCAGACAAAAAATCTTTTACACCTCCACCTTAAAAGAAAGAACAAGGAAAAAAACCCAACAAATAACCGCAACCCAAAACTCTCCACTGCTGCAGACTCTCCAACGAATTATTTCCAAAGCATTAAATTCACTAAACCTTAGCAGCAAATCATTTCACTCTGGGAGCTAGACATTTCCACAAACACAGTCACTTATTTGCCGTAGCACTGTCCCTTTCAAAAAACTTGATTTTTTTCCATAGGAAACTTCAGGTCATGGCTGACTTTACAAGGGGATAAAAAAAAAAGATGTCTTGTTGAAGCAGCTTTACAAAGGGGAAATTTATCATGGTGAGGTGGCAGTAAACAGCTTAAACAAGGATGCTTCCCATCTTCATAGTAAACAGAGGAGGAGGATCCTCCTAATGCTTTATTCAACTACTACTAAGGTCAAGTGACTGTGATTTTGAAGAGAATTTCAAGGCTACTGCTAATTAAACTTGCATTTTAATATTATCCTCAGCATTTACAAATTTTGACTGCTAATTCAAAGTGGAAAATTTGAGTTCAAGAGCTAAGATACTGAGATTTTTATGCTTAGATCAGTATGAAACAGATTAGTTAACACTAAGTAACTTTAAAAAAAAAAGTAGGAAGGCTAAAAGTATGGCATATTTCCCAATGCTTTGTTTCATCCCTGATCAAAGGAGGTGGTTCTATGTTCTATTTACAGCATGTTATTTTCCAGTCCTGCTACAAAGGCAACCAGTTTGTCCCCAAGTCTTTCTACAGGGATGGGACAAGTCATTCCTTCACCTGTAAAACTGGCAAATGAGGCATTAGGCTAATCAGACTAAAAGATTCCCCGGCTCACTTGCAGTTCTGCATTTCTGCAAATGGATACAAGTTCTCAAGCCAGCCACAACACAAAGTCTGAGCAGCCACCTAGGAACAGCCACTTGAGTGCTTCTTGTAGAAACACCAAGACTGAGCACAGACAGCACACAATTCATCAAGCACCACTGATCTGTCTTAGCCACAAAGACTTTTTTTTTATTTCCCCAAATCTCAGCTTCCCTCACTCCACATTTCTCAACTTCCCTAACAGATGAACACACAATCTTTACTTGTACAAATCCTGGACTCATCCTCAGAATAGGCCCCTTTCCCCATTCCAGTCAAACAGTTGCCTCTTGGACAAAACACACAACACTTGTGATGAAGTTGAAGGCTAGAGTGTAATAAATGCAAATGTCAGGCTGCAATGTTTGAAAAAAGTGAGCTCTTGATTTCTGCCCTCTAACATTCCTGTACTGACATTTGAGACTAACCATTTTTTTTTTCAAATTGATGCTCACATAGTTCATTAAAACCCTGATACCCACTCAGCTACTGAGGTTTAAATGCAACAAAACCAAACTGAACACTCAGTAGAAAAGGAAGTCGTGTTTTGCCAGTATCATACACACATTTTCTGTGACCAAAGGAATGGTATAAACCAGACACACACTCTCTCCCAAATTCTTCTCCTCCACATCTGTCATGCTCTTTCAGATGAGTGAAACATTTTCTGTTTCCAGAGGGCCCAGGTCCGTCACCAGGGAGAAGGACCAGGACATGGGAAGAGGCAGGGGTGATACAAGACACAATGCTGCCCACTCCTAGCTCCATGTCAGCACCCAGACCCAGCCACCACAACTCAGAGCAGAAGTGGGATGAAATATGTGGCTCTACTCTGCCTGGAGCATTCCCAGTGTGAACAGAATCTAAAGGAAGCTTACTGTGAAGTTTTAAGAAATTCCTATTAAGCCCATGCAAATGGCAATCTTTCAAAGCCTTGTAAACTGGTCTGGAAATTTGGGTGGATTTTTACAGGGAGGCAAAAGGCACATCCTCAACACAAAGGCTGAACTATTGCCAAATTTCAAATCCTTGCTTTAGAGCTTGGGGGCACTGGAGCATCAAAGAAGGACACCAGAATATTCTCACACAAGCAAAACAGCATACTTTTCACTAGCCTTGTTCTTGGAACAGAATTGCCTTGGCTGAAACTTTCAAAAAAATTCAACCCAAAGCAGATATCTCGCAAGGAAAAATCTGTCTGAACTGAACTTTGGCAAAAGTCAAAGTAACCAGGAGTTAAGCCTTAAAATGGAAAAGGTCACACAACCTTAAGTACAGGTGGCATTGGCAGCTCCACTCAAAATACTATACTTGAAATCCATTTCAGTTGACTTTGCTCAAAGTCAAGCTTGTTCTTTAAAAGCACAGACCACTGTATATACATACAGACACACACACATATACAGATATATTTGTATTTCACCTCATAGCATCAGTCCACTATGAGCAAATACCAGATTAAGTTGCCTCCTGTATTTTTAATCTTATGCAGATCATTAAGATTCAATCATAGTAAAAAACTGTCTTCTGAGAAATTTTTTTAAATCAGCTTTATTACTTATCATCTGAGCAAAATTAAAAATTCAAAATTTCTTTCTGTTATGTGTTTTTCTAGAAAAGTCTTTTTTTCAAAAAAAAAAAAAAGAAAATGTATGAATGAATCAGTGCAAGCTAAGTATTGGTAACTCAGGACAGTTCCTGCAGTTCTAGACTAATCTTGCTGTACAATATACTAAAAGCCCAGGGTTTGTGGCTTTTTTATATTTGCTTCTAATACTATAAATTTTGTGACAATTGGAAAATAAGAAGACCATGAAAGTCAAAATAAAAGAACAAAGGGATAAAAATCGAAATGGAAAAATCACTCACTTGTCCTCGCTGCTGTTATATTCTAGCTCTTCTCCTGCTTTCTCTTCGTTGCTTTCTTATTTTTCCTGTCCTCTGCATGCTACAGCTTCACCTATGGACATATATTCCCAACTCCAGGAATCCACATTATTTGGAAAGCCAAAGGAAAATTAATGTTCCCATTGGAATTGTCCTCTCCAGCCACTTTAACAGCCCTTTTTCTTCATTTTATTGTACAGTCCAGAGGTTCTACAGAATTCCATACATATTTGGCAAGGCTACTATTGCAACTAATGGGTGTCCTACCATAGAAGATGCAAACCACACAACAAAATAAAAATTAAAAAAAGAAAATAAGACCAAGGCAACTTGAGGCTACACTTCAGAGAGATGACTGAACACAAGACCAGAGCTTTTAGAAGGAAGCTTCTTCTATAGTCACTAGCCTCCTTATAGGCTATGAAGTTATTTACCCAAAGAATACTTTTCTATAGTGTTCTATACTTTATACCAATACTTTCCTATAGTATTAATCCTACCTAAATTGAATATTGGCCTCTTTTACACACTCAGTGATATTTTGTTTACATTCTGTGGTGTCTCCAAATGGCATATAACTCTAACTGCTATTCCTACTAGGGTTACAAATGCAACCCAAGTTTTTTGCTATATTTACAATTGGCTAACATCCTTGAAATAAGACTTGATTTCTCCTGCCCTTTAAGGGTATCTTTTGTGAAGATATAGAGAGAAAAAACTCACTGTAAGTAGTTTTACATTTAGTGTAATTACAAACCCATCCCAGATGTATGCTAGACAGGGCTCCCAGCTCAGGGGAATAGGAAGAAAAAGCAGCTCATTTTCTCCCCCTGGGAAGTGTGAGCAGAAGAGGACCTATGTACTGACAGAAAGCTGAGAATTCTTCCTGCCATCACAGCTTCAGCATGAAACATTATTCTGAGATGTTTGTATCTCATCAAATTTCCATTTCATCAACTTTACTACTAGATTCAAATGGCTGTGAAATCAAACAGCATTTAATTTTACTCCTCCTACTTTTCTCATAAAACTGTTAAAGCTGCTTTTTGTT